TTTGATTAATTTGTTTAAAAATTAATGTAATTCACTAATATATGTATTTTTTTTGTAAAACAGCATATCGATGCGTGGGTGTCACGTCTACTAATAATAAGGAAGCTTAGGAAAAATAAAAAAAATTCGCTATATACAATAATGCCGACGGCTTTTCACGCAGTTCACTTGAAGAATCAACGAGATGAATCATTTTTGTTGGGCAATGGACAAGCTAAACTTTATCCTGCATGGTGGGAGGTCGATAAGGTTAGTGTTTATTTTTTAAATTTTTTAAAGGTGTTAATAAATAAGTGCGCAAATAAATGAATTATTACTTATGATCGCAGGTGTTTATCCCTGTTTTGGAACGTCGTCACTGGCTTCTCGTCCAACTTCAGCTCCCATCCCTGAAGATAATAGTGTATGACAGCATGATCAATTACATATCACTGTCTGATTTGAGAGATATTTTCAAGGGATGGAGCTCTCATTTGGCTAAATTCTTGGATGGGATTAAGTATTGGAGTCATTCTGGACACAAGAAGTCAAAGAAGTTTAATGTCACAGTTGTCAGAGACGAGACCGCGCCACAACAATCGCCGGGAGCCAGAGGGGATTGTGGTCCTCTCGTATGCCTTTGCTTGGCGCGTTTGACGACGGGAAGCACAGAGTTTTTACCTCCCACCGATAGAGATAAAGCTGCAGTATGCTTGTGGTTTCGGCATTATATGGCTAGAGCAATATATTCGAGACGCTGCCTACCTGCATCCGCGTTATGAAAGTGTCCATTGTTAATTGGTAAGTCAAATGCAAGTTTTGTTAACATATATACTCCTTTTGGTTTGAAAATGTTTGGTTAAGTACCTAGAATTCAATAATTTGCTGTTTGTAGGTTTTAGATGTGTAGGAAGTCTTGTTTGAGCAAATGTTTGGTTTCTGCAGGTTAATCCTTAAGTGAGCTGCGTGAAATGGATGTACGGGGTCACAAAGTTGTTGATTCATTGATTCAATAATTGATGAAGAAATAAGAATAATTATTATTTTTTGATTGTTTAATTGATTTGTAAAAGATGATTTGTAAATCTTGATTTGTTTAATTGATGTGTACATAATTTGTGTTGAAATGTAATAGTTGATTTGTTGATTTTCAATCTGCTTTATGTTGAAGGCAAAACAGACTATCGCAACGCGAAATGGAAATCGCAATGCGAAATGAAAATCGCAATGAGAAATGAAAATCGCAACGAGAAAATCGCAATGCGAAATGAAAATCGCAATGCGAAATGAAAATCGCAACGAGAAAATCGCAATGCGATTTTCATTTCGCATTGCGATTTTCTCGTTGCGATAACCATTTTCGCGTTGCGATAGCCATTTTCTCGTTGTATAGGTGTATAGTCGGGTTGATCAGGTGATGGCTCTGGGTGAGGTGATGGCTCTCGAAGTGGAGGAAGTGGAGGCTGCTCATCATTCGTGCCATCAAAAAAACGCTGACTAGCTTGCCACCAATCAGTGGCAAGCTCAACCTCCGTGGGTGTCAGTCTCATTAATGGAGTGTTGGCCTCCTAAAAATATAAAAAATAAACAAAGTTAAACGTCTACTATTAATAACTTGTTTATATATGATAGTATTTGTGTTAACTTACATTATTTATTGTCGCATATGGTATTAAGTCTTCCCAATCCAACATACGTTTCCTCTTCCAGGAAATAGCCTTAGGAATATCATCTGAGGATTTTAATGCATATGTCTGCATGCTGGGGAAAGCCTCGAATATCCAAATCTACAAACAATATAATAACAAACATTAGTAATTGTTAAATAATTAATTATAATTTTGAAAACATTATATAGAAATTCTTACCTTAAAGGCCCAAACAAAGCCTGACAAAGTGTATTTCGACCCATCGCCCCGCAAACTTTTGCGGTCAATAAAGGCAGACGACAACTTAGTCCAGGTAGCTTTCCATATATACGAACCCCACGGAAACAGATTCCATGCATTTAGGTCCTCTACCAATAATATTAGCTCCTGAGGAATAGGTTGTATGGCCTCTCTGCCTAGAAAGCCGGCATACAAAAGTAGTAGAAGGCATACTCGGACAACATCGACGTCATTCATCCGAGTAAAACCATCTTTCTTATTAAAAAATTTCTTCATGTCGTCGACGTGTAAGTTCGGCTTCTCTATTGACTCATCAGGAAAAACCCTGGATAACCATGATGGGCGGGTGATATGACGAGTGTACCGGCCTACATCATCGTGTCCGAATCGTAGACCAGTGATTAAGCAGAACTCCTTCCGCCCAAAACAAGTATACGCCGGTGGAAAATGAAACCATATCTCTTCCTCACCACGTTGTATACTGTCGGGTAGATCGCTAGTCATGGTCTGAAGCCACAAATGGGTCAAACTAGCATCTCCACCCGGATGTTGTACTCTCAGCCATGGCCCGAAGCAGGTTTCTTCAAACAATTTTCTTTGTGCAGGTGAAAGCTTCGAAGCAATTGTAGTGGCTAGGCTAACTTTATTCCTTAATGTCAATGAATCCGAAAAAAATTTCTACAAAAAAACAATAAACATACCAAGTTAGATATACCAAAAATTACACTGTCAAGATATACCAAAAACAAAACAATAAACATAAATAGTAGTTTATTCTTGAAACTAAAATTTGTAACACTGTTTTTGTCTTTTGGTTGAAATGAAAATCGCAATGAGATAATGAGAATCGCAACGCGGAAATGACTATCACAACGAGAGAATCGCAACGCGAAATGACTATCGCGACCAGACAATCGCAACGCGAAATGAAAATCGCAACCGCGAAATAAAAATCGCAACGCGAAATGAAAATCGCAACGCGAAATGAAAATCGCAATGCGATTTTGGTTTCGCGTTGCGATTTTTATTTCGCGTTGCGATTATCTCGTTGCGATAGTTATTTCCGCGTTGCGATTTTCATTCTCGAAACTATTCTTCTTCTGCATTACTTCAACCAAAAGACAAAGCAAAGACAAATACTAACTTCACATGCTAAACAGTTTAGCAGTATTGGCAGCAATCGAATGAATTTAATAAGAAATCTAAGTGAAATGGTTAATCTATTATTGAAATTACCAGTAAACTTATCATCAATCTCAATATGAAAAACCTAAAATAATGCAAAAATTTCAAAATAAAAAAAAAAAAAATAACCCTCGGAGGTTGATTTTCCATTTCTGAATGATTGTGAAGGATTTTTGACTGTGAATGGTTGTGAGGGATTTCGCCGGCGATGGGGACGGAAATCTTCGGAGATGGGTACGGATTTCGCCGTAGAGAGTGAGAGATGGAGATGGGACTGAGTGTTGTGTTTTTGGGTTTGAGGTTATGAGTTGCGATTACTGTGGACGGTTCATTTTTCGATTTATTAAGAAAAAATATGTGTTTGGAATTTGAAAAAAAAAATACGCGTTAATACGAATGGCGCTATGTAAATCGCGTTGCGAAAGTCAGTATCGCGTTGCGAAAGTAAGTATCTCGTTGCGATTTTGTATTATCGCATTGCGATAGTAAGTATCGCATTGCGATTTTCCCAATTCGCGTTGCGATTTACTTATTCGCATTGCGAATTGGGAAAATCGCAACGATACTGTAGACCATCGCAACGCGATTTTCAACTATCGCATTGCGAAAATACAACGCGAATTTGTGATAATGGAGATCGCGTTGCGAATTAGCGATCGCGTTGCGATTTTGTTGGTCATTTTGGCAAATCCAAAAAAAGTTGGTTAAAATCGTATATTATATGAGATTTTTGGTAATTGAGGTTATTTTCTCTATATATATATATATATATTATTAATAAAATTTTAAATATATATTCCATTTAACATTTGACGTGAAGTCATTTGACCTGTCTCAATTGAAGTGTCAAATGGCAGCCTGAAAAAGGTCCACGTGTCTTAACATGTTATAAGAAAAAGTCCACGTGTCCTAACATATCTTCTATTTAACAATCACATAGTAGGACTAAGCAACAAAACCGAAAAAAATTAAAAAATCGATAAAAATCGAGTAAAACGATTCGATTCAGTTTGATATTATACGGTTCAATTTTCGATTCGATTTAAAATCTCTATTCTTTTGATTCGGTACGATTCGAATTTTCTATATGAAACTCATTTGTTCCATATTGAGCCGAATAGGCATTTTTTTAAAAAATCTTTTACAGTTTCAAGTGATTTTTTCATTAAAAACCAATAAACCGAACCGAACCGAAAAAATCCGATTTTGATTTTTTCTTTTTTTAACCATCCAGTCTCGGTTTCGGTTTAAATTTTAAAAAACCATTTATTTCAATTCGGTTCAATTTTTGGTAAAAAACCGAACCGAACCGAATACACCCCTATCACATAATAGAACAGAAGTAAAAGACAAGGTGTTTACAACTCCAAATATATAAATTATATATTTAATACCTAAACTATCATTTTCAATTCGATTTAGTATCTAAATTTTTAATTTTTTAAAATAAGACCTAAAGTACAATAGTTGTTTCATTTTAATACCTCATTCAAAATTTAACATTAAGTAATAAAAAAATAGAACATTTAGATATTAAAACAGACCAAAACTGATAATTTACGAACTAAATACATTAAGTTATTAAAACGAAAAAACTAAATGTTTTACTATGATTTTGACAAAATTGAAAGTTTAGGTACAAAAACAGATCAAAATTGATAGTTTAAATACAAAATATGTAGTTTACCCAAAATATAATGCAAATAATATTGCCATTAACCTCCTCATTATAAAACACTAATAAATCCAAGATGTATAAAAAATACATCAATACCGAGAACAAAAACAATACATACCAAGATGTATAAACAATTGGTATCAAATTTCAACCCCAAATATTCATAAAACAATATATAGACAGCCAAAACCACATAGATGAGACAAACCAATACATACTAAAATCTCATTTAGAGAAGAAATTTAGGAAAGCTCAGAAGCCAAATCCAAGCAAAATAAATCTGAAAAGAAGTATCCATTAAATCATAACAATAACAAGAAACTGTAGCTCACACATAATAGAAAGATCCCATTTGAGTGGGAGTTCTTTGGTAAAAGTACCAATAATTTATAGCAGAAACATGAAATGGAAATACTACATAGAACTAAATAAGCAAAAATATAACAAAACATCTAGGTGTTTGTTGCCCTAGTGTAAATCTGCTGACTCGAATGAGCAGACACCAACCGGATCAATCCTTTTGCCATCAACTCCCTTATGGCCTTCCTTGCAAGTGACCCGTTAATCTGGGCGGCTTATGTAAAACCATATTAGACATAATAACAGAATGCCGGCTTTCATTTAATGATATTCATGCATGCAAGTACAGACCAACATATATAGCTTGATGAATTCAGTATTTTTATCCAGGGATGCTCACCGTTAAGAACAAACACAAGTCGACAAGGAAAGGGAGCATATCCCCTAGACTCTACCACAAATGCATAAATATACATACATTAATCAGACAAAAAGTCTATGAAAGATTCTCATATTTGTGTATATCACTTCAAATTTGGTTGAATCACATTGCACTTACTCTATTTAAAGCGATTACAGTACCCATTCTAATAAAGTTCAATACAAATTCTACAGTGAATAACCAAAAAAACACCAGGATAAATCTCTGAAAAAAGAACCCCTATCATCATCCACTTCTAAAAAGGGTACCCAAGTTCATCTATCCATAGATCTTTACCTCCAGACAATTGACAACAACACAGATAACCAAACTAAAACCATATATAATCACAAATGCAAAACATACAGAAACAACTATATGCAATAATAAAAAAAGGAAAATACAAAACCAAAACAAATGAGAAAACATACCCTCAAACGATCAGACAAAATAGAGGGAGTGATGAGCTTGTATTTAGGAGCCTCAGAGAGAATCTTATCATAGGTAGCTTGGTCAAACAGCACCATGTTGTTCACCTTCTCCTTTTGCTTTCACTTGCTCCACTTCTGTAATTACCAGAAAAACACACACACAAAAGAAGATAAACCCATTTCTTATCTAACTCTGAAATGCATTAAAATCAACCCCACTGAATAGAAATGAAAGGATCTGACCTTCTTCTTTTGCTTGCCACCTCCAGACTTCGCTGGCTTGGAGGAAGGAGGAGGGGCCTTGTCTTTCTTTGGTGCCTGCAAAAAAAGAAAAAAGTAAACCCAGAAAATTCAAAACAAATTTTGAGTTTGAACATCGGATTCAATGGTGAAAAAACACAGATAATCGGAGAAACATACCATCTGATCTGCTCAAGCCTCAAAGTGAGAGATAAAACGGGGGAAACAGTGGAGGCGCAGTTTTATGGATTTGAATTTAGGGTGTGAAGAAGCTTTTAACTACAGGGTTTGGTCGATGACTCGATGTTGCCCTAGATAGGGCTACGCAGTCGTTTTATTTCAGTCTTTATTGAGCTAGTGTCGGTTTTGGGCCGCTTAATTCTTTTCAACCCGTATTTAGTAATATAGATTTGTTTAACGAAAATATTTCTGGTAAATTACATATTTTAGTACCTACACTATTACTTTTCTTCAGTTTTGGTATTTAAATTTTATTTTATTTTAAAAAGAATCATATATAATGTTTAATTTAAGTTTCATTTTTTATCCCGTCGTTAAAAACTTAAAGTTGATATTTATATAGGGTTTCAAAATCATACCAAGGTTTCATTTATCAAAAGCATATTGCAAATAAAGCCAAACATTTAACATAATTAGGAAACACTTAATTAGTCTTAGTTCCCAACTATAAATAAAACCCGAAAAATGATTAAAATTATTTAATTTCTATTTACTTTTTAGCATGTTGGTAAATAAAAAGAAAATAATTTTTTTAATTAAGCTAAGATGATTACAAAGTAGTATTTGTTCTAAATACTTTCAACAATTTGATAATGAATGCTTAATCATCCTGCTCTACAGTTGCTGGTGCTCGAATATGTGACTAGGGGTGTTCAAAAAATATCAACCCGGTTGACTCGACCCGTCGACCTGGTTAAAATATAACGGGTATTTATTTTGAAAATTCCCGACCAGACCGTTAAATTTTTGGGTTTTCGAATTGGTCCTGGGTTACAAAATGTTGCTTAATCGGGTACCCATTGACCTGATACTCAGTTTATTATATATTTTTTATTTTTATATTAAATTTTTATTTATAATTTCAAATTATTTCGGGTCGGGTCGGATTTCTAAGTCATATATTCGGGTCGGGTCGGGTGAAACCTTAATTTCGTCGGGTTGGGTCGAGTCACGGGTGGATGACCCTTTCTTCTCGGGTCAGATCGGGTGGCCCAAAAACCCAACCCATTGCCATCTCAATTCTCGAAAGCTCCACCTAATATGCGTAAGGAAACAAATTCCAACGCTGAACTAACTAGCTCAGTGCCACACTAACAACTAAATCATCCTAATTGTATATCACTAAAAGGCTCAAGCTATCAAGTCTACTATTTTTCTTTAGTGAGTATACTTGTATACTCACTCTCTACTCTATGGTAGACATCATGGTGCCGCTGAGGGTTTTGCATCTTGGAGCTCACACACCCTTCTAGTTTATCGAGAATGAGGCCCTCAGAATCTCTGCATCGGACACCACATCCTCAACTAACCCACCATTTGCAAGTGACAGGCCTTGACTTTAGTTGGTCAGCTTAAAGTGCCTTGCACACTCCCAAAGAATATATCCAGAATGAATCTATACTTTCGACGCTGCTAGCTTTACTAAAAGGAACTCAGGTGTCTTGATCATTTCCCGAGCATTCAAACAAGGTTAGTCTTATTTCACCCTACTTTATCACGTTTCTATGTTTGAATTAAACATCAATATGGTTCTCACTTGTAGTATTATTTGGAAGTTATTATAAACTTTTGGGAAACCTCAACTCCTTTTAGCATCCTAAGATTATTCATTCAAAACTGCTCGTGGGTATTGATGTTGGCCCTTCAGTATCGATACTAACCCATTGTTATTGATAGCCACCTGTTGGTATCGACACCCCTCAACTGTTATAGGTTACTTGGTTTAGGTGGTATCGATACTCTATGTTGAGTATTTATACTCTGGTATTGGGGTATCGATACTATCATAAGTACTCGTACCAAATTTAGGTTCAATGTTTCAAAAATACCTTAGTATCGATACCAACCATCTAGGTACCGATATTGGACCTCGAGTATCGATACTCCTTGAAGCAATACCGATACTGCCCTTAACTATATGCTAGGTTTTAGCCTTTCACGACTAACAATATCAGCACTGTTCTTTCAGTACCGATACTAACATATTAGAATGCCCTATTTGAGTTTGAACGAGTCCCTTAAACTCACTATTTTTCGTACTTTAAGGTTTCCCAATGTGTTATTAAGTCTTATTTGATCTTAGGGGCCATAAATAAGGCTTTATAACATGCTATAAACATCAAACATGAAATCTACTATGGAATTCTACTCAACATGCTTAAAGTCTTAACTTTATAGTTAAACTCATTTTTAATGATCTACAACTGATATGAGGAAGTTGTGAGTGTGTTACCTGACTTTCTTGGCTGCTAGAACTCCTCTCGAATCAACTAGGATTGACTTTTTCTATACCTCTTGCCTTTGAACTTTCTCCCACCTCTTTAGCTAAACAAAGGTAATAAAAAGGGTTTACTAATTTATCTAAGACTTAAAACAAGGTTAAGGATACTTCAAACAACCCAAATTTACTAAAATAAACTTAAATCCTTTGATTCCCTTAACCTTTATAAAAACCCATTTTTGAAACCATCCTCAAAAAATAAGATTAGGGACTCAAAATGAAGCTTGAAGTGCGAGGATCAGGATTCTTACCTTGGTTGCTTCATAGTAGGCTTGAGAATCTTAAAGCTTTTGCCTCTCTACTTGCTATTGAGAGAAAATAAAGAGAGAAAAGAGGAAATGAGGAGATATTTTAGTGGGGTTTGGTTTACACGTGAAATCCCTTTTAAATAAGGGGTTTCTATCATTTAAAACTGACTATGGGTAAACTCCACTTTTGGTCCTTCTCCTCTTAATCCCAACTTAAAACAACCACTTAGCTTTAGCTCTTAGGCCCACCTTGAGCCCAATACCCTTATGAACTGGTTTAAACTGGTTTAGAAAATCTAATGGGCTTGACTCATGAGTCTCGGGTTGACTCGAACTACTAACCCGAGATTCGGGGTATTACAATATCATTTAAATTATATTTACACATATTAATACTATGATATATAAAATATATAAACTTAAGTATAATAAAATATAAAAATATTTTAAGATAGTTCATTAATAATATTTTTATATATGAAATATTCTATTAAGGAAAAAAATATTATCAATAATTTTCAGGGTAAACTACGCGTTTAGTACCTAAACTACAAGTTTTTGTCTGTTTTAGTATCTAAACTTTCAATTTTTTTCAAAGCTTAACGTTAAATTTTGAATGAGGTACTAAAATGGAACAAAAACTAAAGTTTTTAATAGCGGGTACTAAAATGAAATAAAAACTAAAATTTAAGTGTGATTTTAAATAAAAATGAAAGTTTAGGTATTAAAATGGATAAACATTGATAGTTTAGATACTAAAAACGTAATTTACCATAAATATTTGAATTTTAAAATAATAATTTCAATATTTTGATTTAACCATAACTACTCATAAAATTTAAAATAAAATAATTTAAATGATATTTTTATCCTTTTAACCATTCAAAAAAAATATACATTATAAATAAATTTAAAAGAAATAATTATTTTATATAAAATATATCAATTTAAATTATAAAAAAAATATTAAAAAAATATAATTATAATAAAAAATATTTTACAATAATTTGCTATCAGTATTTGAATACATGAATCATAAATTTTATTTACTTTTAAGTAATTGAAATTAATTATTAGGCAATAAATTATTATCAAACTTCTTTTCTTTAACTCTTATCCTAAAATTCAAACAAAATAAACAGATAAATATTAAATAAAAAAGAAACTAAATTAAATATATAAAAACTAAAATAAATACGAATGCAAATTTAAAATAAAAAAATAAAAAGTTCAAGAATTAAAAACAAATAAAAAATTACCGAAGGAGAGCATATATATATATAGATATAGATATGCTCAATACGTGTATTAGAAGCAATAACTGAAGAACATAGAAACAAAACAGGAGAATAGAATTGAATCCATTAACAACAACAGAGTACCATTCCCTGTGTTTTCGATATAAAACTCGCAATGTGGAAGCACTATCAGATGGCGAATTTGTTGATGCTGGTTCTAGTACTTATTCTTCGAGTGTTGATCTCCAGCATCGAAAGAAAATAGTTAGTCTCGACGTAAAAGGGAACCAAGAATTTGAAACTGACGAAAAGAGAAACAATGCAAAACTAAGAGACTAAATTTTAAAAAGAAAAAAAACATGTCGTATAAAGAACAAATTATTTAACTAAGATCAAAATGACGTCGTTTTAGTCTTCATTTTCACAAACTCAAATCCGACTAGAGAACAAAATCCAAACCAAAATTTCGAATGGACTCAAATACTACAAATAACTGAAAATTCAAACAGAATGTGTTTTGCTCAACCCTAAAGCCACCATTAATTCACACATTAAACTCGAAACAAATGCACCAAAGAAAGCACTTTCACCGAAGAAACTTGGGTCTTTCAAAATCTATATCAAGAATGTGTTGAGCAATTCAGGGAGTAAAGGATTCGTAGCATGGAATCCCCAAAAACCAAAACGACAGATATAAACTTGCACAACAAGAAACTACAGTATCCTAAATCGCCTTAGAACCACCAACAATGATGTCGAACTAAAGGATTCTCACTACATATCATCCTCAAATTGTATCCAACTAGTAGCAGACTTTTTTTTCTATTTCGCTATCAGTTTAAGTCGCCACATTGCCATACTACCCCGGTAATCGGCCCTGGAAATATTGCACAAAATAGTCAGTCAGTCTCGCAGAATAAAATCCTTGCACTAAAACCATTTGCTCGTTCCATTTTAGCAGCATCGTCAGCTAGGATGCATGCCAACACATGCAGTTCCAGGGCTCGAGCTCTCGATATAATAAACTGTTAAACCTAGATCTAGATGCACTAGCTGTAGGATTGTAAATTTACCTTAAAACTAAGTAGATGCCACACAGAATTGGACTGGAGCCTTTGGATTTAGAGAACCTAAAGTAGAGCTCTATACAGCCATTTTCATCTCTATTTTCTTGTGAGGATCATAGACTATGAGTTCGAAATCGGAAGCCACAAAGGAATCGATGTTCTTTTTCTCAGGATTGATCTTCAAGATCTGCATTTCAATATGGTAAGAGAATAATCTGGAAGGAACGAGGTGACCGAGAAGTAGGAATACTTCCCCCACATGGTTTTAAGATGAATAATTAAACTCAACTGGAAAAGGCTTTGGCAGTTTCTGGAGCTGCTCTTGTAGGGGCCTAACATGAGTACTATAAACATGAGTATCACCAAGCACATGGATGAAATCACCCGGGGCAAGATCTGATGGACAATCGAAATTAAGATAGGTTAGATAATGGAGCTGGACGAAATCAAACAGCTCGAGCATCAAGTTCTCTTTTCTGTTCATTTTCCGCTCATTTGCTGTATTTATTATCTAAAAGTTAAGAGACTAAATTCCGAGAGATGAGGGACGAAAGCCACTCTTTTATCCACTAAATGGTAAAATAACTAAAGATAACCACATAATACGGTTCATTCCAGCAATTCAATCATGCATAAACATAGTATTAGTTTCAGTGGCAACATCGTACCACAAACATGAGCAATCATGCACGTTAGGAGAGCATAAGATGCGATGTTAAATGGCACACCCAAGCCCATGTCACAAGAGCGCTGATACATTTGGCATGATAATTCCCCATTTGCTACGTAGAACTGCAAAACATTTATATTGGAAAGGCTTAATTTAAGTACAAAAGAAAGCGAGAGAAAACAATCACAAACCAATACTAACCTGAGCAAACATGTGGCAAGGCGGAAGTGCCATAAGTTTGAGATCAGAAGGATTCCAGGCTGAGAGTATAATCCTTCTATCATTTGGATTATTTTTAATCTTGTCAATAACATCCAACAACTGATCAAATCCTTGTCCAGTGTAGTCGGCATGCATGTCAGTATACCTGAAAAAGATCATATACAAAACAAATGAAGCAACACCGTCGCACAAAAATGTATAGGCAGCGAAAAATGGGAAAGTTGAAATCCACTAACCTCGCACCAAAATACCTCCACTGGAACCCATACACAGGTCCCAAGTCACCCTCCTCTCTACCAGTCAACCCAATACTGAGATTCAAGAGCAAGTTGGTAATAACAGGAAAAAAATAGTACAAATTGATAGCAAAACCAAAAAGGTTAGAGTGATACCTGTCAAGAAACTCCCTGGATGCATTACCGTCCCATATATGAATGCCCTTTTCTTGAAGGACCTGTTAACAATGCAAATATTTTAGAATGGAACTCTATTCCCCGATCTGACTGGTTAAGCCATCTTCTAAATAAGATCAAAGTTTTTGGAATAGGGAAAAAAGTTCGAAGACCCACAGAAAATGCTAAAAGCCAAAGATAAACTCTACAAGAAACTGACAGAAAATCGAGAGATAAATGAAGAATAGAAGCTCTGCCTTCATTTATAGGAGCATAAAATATGCCAAGCAATGTAAACGGAGCTTGTTATTCAAGAAATTAACCTTGGCATTAGTTGAGCCACTGATGAACCAGAGCAGCTCCTCAACAACACCTCGCCAGAATACCTTCTGAAGACAATCAATACAAATGCAGATCATTCCTCAAAAAAAAAATACAAATGCAAATCAATTATCCGTATAATTAATATTGAAAATAAATACAGAAGGCATAACTCCATTACGATGTAAGTATGTAAATACATAAAACTAACAACAATATGCATGCCTTGGTTGTCAGAAGCGGAAAAGTTTTTCGCAAGTTGAATCGCATCTGTCAAATACATTATAAAAGAATTAAAATAATCAGCAATCACAAGCCCAAAAACATATTGCTGGAAACCAATTTCCAGAAGCAAATCAGACAGGATTTTAACTTAGAGCTGCGGATCACCTGGCAACCAAATTTTGAAAAAGTACCAGTCCCAGTCCTGTCATCCTTCAGATTACCATCAGAGATGATGTCTTGAATCATATTCAGGTACAAGTACTCCTCGTGTTTCTCAAAAATCTTCTTAGGCAGGAAAGAGAAATTTTGTATCTCAAACTTAGAGGAATCTAGCTTATTGTCAAGGACCTGGTTGTCATCCAGGTTGATGTGTTCAACAGCAGAGGTTCTCACACGAACATACGTTGCAAAGCAATACCGGATGTTGTTTTCCACTTGAGGAAATGACGAGTACCAAGGCTGAAATACTGAGGAATCAATGGAAGGCATAAATGTATCACATTCGATGCTGGTCTCAATTTCTGTAAGGTGAATAGCATCACATCCAGCAGCATTAAGGGATTCCCTGAACCGAAAGGTAGAGCATATAAGATAAGAGGGGAGGAAAATAAAGAATTAAGAATCTTGCAAAATTTTAAGATGCATGCTCTGCACCTAAATATCTGGCCACCCCCTATTACAAATACTTTCTCGATCGAAAGACAATAAGGAGATGCAGCTAATAATTCCAAAGCAGATGTCATGCTTCCACATATAACAACATTCTCAGCAGTTGCAATATCAAAACTCCCTGAACGAGTCAGAACAACATTAAGACGACCTGGAAGTGGTCGATATTGAAGGGGAATACTTTCCCACGTTTTTCTACCCATTATGACCGCATTCCTTTTCCCAGGGTCTGCCGTAGTCAGAGTGAGATCTTTGAAGAATTTGAGATCAGAAGGCAATTGCCAAGGCAACTTCCCATCTTTACCAATACCCCAATCTTTAGTGGCGGCGACAACGATCTGGTAAGTTCGCCTTGGATCCGGTAGGACCTCGACATTGCCATTTCCGTTTCCATTAGGAATGTTCATCAAGGTGTTAGCAGACATATTCGAACCAAAAACAAAATCAGAAACTCAATGACTAAAATGTCAAATCCTGTATCAAAAACAAGACTAAAGTAAAAAAACCAATGACTATAATATCAAATCTACATCTAGCTTCAAGTAGAAGATAAAAACAACAGAACCTACTTAGACAACTCTTTGATCCTAGTCAAACCTATATAGACAACAGTCAGAAAATAAACTAAAAATAACCGCAAAACAAAAATCAGTTTTAACCGTTCTCTGTTCTGTTTCGACAAATGAATCTAACCGTCTAATAATAAAATAATGCCAAAAGATACATATTCAAAAATGATAAATCAGAGCCAGAGAGATTCGATCTGTCGATGCATGTGAAAGAAAAAAGTAATGGAAGAATAATTATTTTTAAAAAAATAAGAACAGAAATAACGGGAGAAAAATCCTAAATAATTTAACAAATAATGAAGACACTTAGTTGAGATTTTCCATAGAAAATGAAAAGGAATAAAATCATCGATAATCGCACCTATACCAAACATTCCACTCTTTTTATAAAAAAAAATAGTATTTCTTTCTACATAACATTCATGGAATTAGGCAAAATCAAACCAGCTATTAGAAGTAGTTCAAGGAACATTATAATCAAAGTTAATAAAATAAATAAATATAACCTTTCCAGATAGAGAGGGAGATAGAGAGAGAGAAATGCAAATGAAATTACCGACCGATCTGAGACGGAGACACAAAATCTTCAATCAGCAACCGCAAGAGGTTAGGATACTGCAAGAAGAACAGAGAACAGAGAAGTTAGGGTTTCTTTTGTAGGGGTTGTTTTGGGGGAAATTGGGGAAGTTGAGTGGAGAATCAGTATTTAGTAGGTACAAGAAAGAGAGTACTTTGAAATTTTGAAGAAAATAAAATAAATCCAAAATGCATTGTTGACGCGACGCGGGGGGGCGTCAAGGTAAATTTTAAGGGTAAACTACATCTAACGTCCCTTAATTATAGGTTTAGTGATAAATAGCTCACTTTTTTCTAAAAATTACAAACAAACCATTCTATTAAAATATTACTACAAATAAGTAACTTCATTGTTAAAATTAAAATAAACATTTAATATTTTCTTATATAATAATATTTTTAGTCCCTGAAATTTATATATTTTTATCAATTTTATTTATCCCAACAATTCATAAATTTAATCATTTATATTTAAAAATTCCATCGATTTAATCTTATTTTACGACACTGTCAAACTAAGCGAGTCCATCAGATCAAAATAGTAGTTATAAAACAATATTTTTTCCATAAACAACAACAAAATAATATATTTTTAAATATGAAATATTAAATTTATTAAATTGTTTTGGATTAGTATCAAATTGGTAAACCAAATAAGTTTTATGAACTAAAATTATTATTGGGCTTCTTTACTATTTCGTCTAATATTTAACTACAAAATTATATGTTTATAACAATCTTTTAATTCATCGAAATATTTGTAGCTCCAAATATTAATTATATTATCACTAATAACTGTGTAATTATTATCTATTCATTTTAGTCTAATTCTTCTCTTACCCCGTACACTTTTCACACACTTGAGATTTAATTTTAAAAATTTTAATTTTTATGGATCCAACCACCATACTCTTTTCATTTAATAACCAATATCCATATGATAAAAAACAAATTCTTAAATTTCTTTTTGAACAAAATTCTTAAAATCTTAAATACTATATATATATATATATAAGAGAGGGGGGAGGGGGGACACCCTTATAGAATCAGGTCAAATCGAGATGTGGGATTAGGATATCCCAATCTAGGTGCTATGCCCGGAAGGAGGGTAAGTCCAAAACAAACCAATTATCATATGCCACTTGATAACCAGACATTGGTTCCTTGAGGAAGTGTCTTGACCATATTGAGCGGCTGCGATTGCTTTAGGTACCGTCCTTTGGTTGATCAACGGGGAGAAATTAGACTCAGATATGGAAATTGCCTGAATGTCTTAAATTACTCCCCATCCCAACACCGTTAAGATCATTCCCGGAAAAGCAATCCCAGCCGTTCACGTCGCCATCTCCCACGTGTTTTGCTTGACATGCATAACTGGTATAATTCCAATTCTTAGGTTGATCCTCCAAACTTACGAATTCCCACTACTACGATAAATTTTCCTTCTAAAGCAATGCTTTTAGAATTGTGTTTTCAAGGATAAACCCATAAATTTATATTGCGAATTTGAGAAGTTATATTAAAAAATTTAAGGGTGTAAAGTTATAAAATTTTAGGAGATATGAAATTAGATAATTAATAAAAAAATTAAAAAAATCTAAAATATAAGGGATTTTGAAAATTCTAGGAGGCGTGACCGAACCCCAACATCCCCTCAATTCATCTCTATGTGTTACGAAATATTTATATAATATACAAATTTTAAATTTTATATATTATTTTAAATCTTTAGATTAATTAAATTTAATCATTAAAATGAATGCGTTTAAAATTTAACATAATTCACTTTTTTATATAGAAAAAAAATCTTATTTCTTATCGTTAATCTTAATCATTCATTTTTATTAATTCAATAATTCAAGAAAAATCATTATTTTTATATTTTTCTACTCAAATTTAACGTGAAGTAGTATCCAATGTATGGAATAAGCCTACTAGTTTTGAAGTTAGTTTCTCCTACTAGTTTTGAAGTTAGTTTCTCCTACAATGTACTTAATAAATGGTCGTCCCTTGTTCCCATATATAATGGGGTAAAGGGGAGATAAGATAGTAGGTTGCTCCCAACCCTAGATTAAGAGCAGTTTTCGTAGAAGACCTCCAAATTATAAAATACCCTCCATGGGACTCGATCCCACGACCTCAAGGTTAAGAACTTTGTGCTCTATCAACTGAGTTGGATGGTCATCTCCTATAATGTACTTAATGTTATTATTATTTTTGTTATCCTAAAAAAATTAAATTAATTTATCTCTCACATATTCAATAAGTTGCCATTATTTAAAATTTAATCTGTATTTTCTTTAATGTGGTCAGCATAAAATCCAAACTAGTATTTAATACTTTGAGTGGACAATTAAACTAGTGGAAGGACTACATTGATAAGATATTAATATTTTGATGATTTAATTATAATATTACCTCATTTTAAAAACATGTATTTAAAGAATATCACTTTTTTACCTACATATTTAAAAATAATAATTAATTATACTTAATTCAAAATAATGGATGGCGATTTCAATTTTTGAAAACACAAATGATGTCACCTAAACACATATTCGATAGTTACATCATTTTTTTCATCTTAACAACTAAAAGTTGATATGTAATATTAATTAAAATACTTTAGGTATTTAGATAAAAAAAATTATTATTTTATGTACTTAGATGACAACGGTAAATATTTTAGATACTTACTTTGATTAAAAGATAATTTAGGTACTTAGATAAAAAGTGATATACTTAATGTCTTTGTTTTTGAGTCAAGTCTATAAAAATTTGAAGTTTGCAAATCAATTTAGAATCTAAATCATGCTTTGGGGGCTTCTAATGTAATTTACCCATATTTTATATAAAGGTTATAATTTAATTTTTTTAAATGGTTTATAATCTTTTGCCACGTAAGATGCAACAATATTTTTTCCCATTAATGCAACAATAATTAGAATGCATTTGTTTCATGCCAAAACAGTCTGATGCCCTTTGGTTTGGTAATGCCATCATTTACGGGTAAATGAAACTTACACCTTGACAATATTAAATTATTGGGTTAACTACACAACTAATCACTTATGTTTATATTTTGTCTACTTCTAGTCACTAATTTAAAAAAACATAAAGATATAAACATTCTTGTTTCTATTTAATTAAGATATGAAAACTTTTGTTTTTCTTTGATTATGATGTAACCATCACAGGTTAATTGCAATTAACAATTAAAAGAATATGTGATCAAATAGTTTGTATAATCACACATTTGGTCTTGTTATTTACACATTCTCTCAATTTAGCATACTTTTAAATAAATTTTAACATAAAATAAAATATTTTTAAATTAAGTTAATAATAAAATATATTTAATAAGTTAATATATATATAATATTATGAATTTAAGTATTTAAACACTAAGATACAAAATATATACAATGGTTGGATACATGTTTAGTTTCCTAAGTGACCAAGGTTTAAATGTTTTTTGCCTTGATTTGCTTTCATTTGCTTTCTTTCAACCAAAGGGTGACATATGTCACCCTTTGATTGGTGAAAATAAATATATTAAATTAAAATAAAGTTAGTCCTCCAACCGAATGATGATATGTGGCATGACATGTGACATCATTCGATTGGAGGATTAAATTTATTTTAATTTATTAAAAGTATTATTAAATTGAGATAATATGTAAATAACAATGAACAAATGTGTGATTATATAAAAATATTTAACTGCAGTTAACGCCAGTTAAATCGAGGTTATCACATCTTAATTAAATAAAAAAGAAAGTGATCATATCTAGATATATAGCTTTTTCTAAAAACATTATAAAATTTTGAGGGTAAATTATATATAAAATTATTGTTCAATGACTTATTTGATGTTTTAGTAATAGTTTAGAGGAAAAACTAAATATTTGCATCTTTGTTAATGTTGCCTTATCATTAATTTAACGAGAATGATGGTGGAACAGTCATTTTGTTACAAATCAATAGTATTAGTGACCACTTTGTTACAAATTAAAAATGTTCATGATCAATTTGTTACTTTTGAACCTTCAGTAAAAAAAATGAAAATTTACTCAAATAGTAACGATCACTTTCTTATAAATTGAAAATGATTATTATTTTAATTATGGAATGCATATCTATTAATACAAAGTAATTTTAAATATTTTACACCAAATTTTTTTATATGCATAGAATAATTTTTAAAAAAAATCAAAAAAGGTACATTTTTATTGGAGAGAATAGTACACTTTTTCATGGTCAAAAGTTGTTGGATAAATATTAAATATAAAGTTTAATTAGTTTCATTGCATTAAGACGATAAGTGGATATTTTCTCACAAAAGATTGACAAACAAATTATGCACATAGTTTAATCATATATATATACAAGGATTATTTATTGATATATTGTAAATGAAAAAAAGTATAGGTAACATTAAAATTATTAGAATTTATGATCTGAATATTGTTTATAAATAATACCAATAAAGATTGGTTCAGGTGATAATCAGTTTGATATCGCTTAAATAAGGTCTCAAGTTCTAGTCCTTGTGTAAGCAAAAAAAATCTCTGTTGAAAGACTCAAATACCAAAGCCAGGTATGCGACGCGGGTCAGTCCGGATCCTTAATCAAAGCGAAATATTGAAACGAGACAGCAACAAAAAAATATTTATAGTTATTATTATTTTCATCATACGTCATGTAATAAATTTAAATATAATACAAAATATCAGGTATATAACAAATTTAAGGGTAAACTACACAAATGACCCCCTAATTATAAGGAATTGTTTTATTAAGTTTATTGACAATTAAAAGTTATAAATTTGTTCTCCGACTATAGAATGTTACTTTGTTGAGTCCCTCAACTATCAAAAGTTATAAAATGGTCATCCGACTATTCATTATATTCCAAACTCGTCCTTTTATGTTAAAAAATAGTTGTTGTCTAAGCTGGACATTAACCTGATGACTGAGATGTGATACTCGTTTGAGGTTCTGATATCATATTTTATCATAACATAGTTAGTAAGTTAATGTTCAACTTAGAATATCATTGATCTTTTAACGGAAAAGTACGAATTTAGAACATAATGAATAGTTATGTGACAATTTCGTAACTTTTGAAAGTCGAGGGACTCAACAAAACAACACTCTAAATCGAATGACTATTTTATAACTTTTAATAGTAGAGAGACTTAATAAAACAGTACCATATAGTTGAGAGACCATTCGTGTACTTTATCTAAAGTTTAAATATAGTATATTATAGTAGGAAATAAATAGTTAAGAAGAGGACCCAAAATTGGTCTAGAATCGAAGTATTTTGGGCATGAAAAGATCCAATGTCTTCATTTTCGCATTTGGGCGGCCTTCCCACTCTTGTATTTTTCTTCACCACGAAGTTACCTCGGAACAACCAACAGAGAAAATGACATTTAAAACCTTATGTAAAAAAAAAAAGAACTTAATTAGACAAATTAATTAATATAAAGAAATATAATAAAGAAAACAAGCTAATATTTTGAGTTGGTCGATAAATATAATAATACCATTACTGCCAAAGTCAAACACTAAGCACCGCCTTAACTCAAATTTCACTCATTAATCATATTACGTGTCTAATATTGCTACTTTGGCTGCTCACTTTAAAGCTTAAAGTATTATTAGTCTGGTTTCAATTGTAAGTAATTTGATATAATTTAAGTAAAATTTTAAGTTAAATTATAAATCTAATTAATTATATTCAATAAATAATATATTTACATGTCAATGAAATATTTTTATTTTGTGTTATATAACTTGTTTGAACTCATAATTAAAAATAAGTATTTAAATATATTAAATTACGAAATGCGTCTTATTATAAAGTGTTAAATCGATAAAATTTAGGAAAATGATACCTAACGGATAATAATATAATATTTGGGTGGTTTTTGGGTAAAAACACCAATCAAATTGGCATTACTTTAATATTTGGGTAGTATATTGTTGTAGATTTTTACGTAAGGATTTATCTGTAGGGATTACTTCCTATTATAGACGCGTATATTTAGACTGTATATGAAGACTGTTTAACTATGTATTTATTTATTTATACATGCATTGTATTATATATTTTTTTTAATTTTCTGACTGCCGGAGGTCTTCCACAGAAACTGCTCTCAACCTGACATTATTAGGGGCAGCCTACTACCCTACCTCCCCTTACCCTATTGCATATGAGAATAGAATTTTGTTGTTATTGTTTAATTCTTTTGACAAATAAACATTTGATTATTTTTGAGGTTATAAGCACAGGCTTTTTTCTTCAATATCATAAATTTTTTATTTCCACGAGTTAGTTAAATATTATATCTCACTTATTTAGTTTTTAAATAATATATATAATTCTTTAACTCCTTAAAAACTTTATTATTATTGTAGTTTAAATTAATCTAGGTAATTACAAGATAACATCTATTCGAAATACTTCGATCATTTTACAATGAATATTCAAATATCTCAACAGACGTTATGCTCGGACTTATAATCTCCAAAGATAATAATTATTCCTTGATCACTGAAATTAATTAATCCGTATAAAATTTATATATTGGACGTAAATTTTAAAATAATAGTTAATTAATTTGTAGCTGCAGTCATTAAAGAATTTTTTGAAAAACTATTATATTTTCTATCATAAGCACAAGCTTTTTTCTTATACTTCGATTAGATACATAAGCGGCTTTTCTTATTAAGGTCAAGCAGCCCTTGTCCGTTATAATAGAATTATCGGATTCTGAATAAATGTTGTATGCAATAGTAAAATAAATTATATTTTCAAATAGATAATTCATATTTTTAATGTTAAAAATAATATTAAACTTTATACATAAATCATATAATGGATATGGAATAATTTAAAAATATTATTCAACTTAAACTCCAATATAATTTTCTACAACGGCGGAAAAATAAGAGACTAGTGGGATCACGAGCCCCCCAAAAATATTAAAAAACTTAAAGGGTAAATTATAAACTTGGTATCTAAACTACCACTTTTGTTTCATTTTTGATATATAATCTTTATTTTTTCCCAAAATCATACATAATATTTAGTTTATGTTTCAATTTACCCCTAACTTAACGATGATGCTGACATCACCATATAAGGTAATACCACAACAACATTGATTTTTTAAATGTCACATCAATAATTTCTATTAATATTTTTAACGATAGGATACCAAACTGAAACATAAACTAATCATTAGATATGATATTATAAAAAATAGATATTAAAAACCCTAGCCACTTTTTCCCCTCTTCTATTTTTCTTTTTTTCTTCTTCTTCTTTATAATTTGTGTCAATTTTATCTATCAATTCAACTTTTTATTTTTATTTTGTTTAACCGGCGACGATATCGGTTTTAATGCTGGTTGTCGTCCGTTGGTTATTTTTTTCTTTATTTTTTAATTGTTTTAATAAAATAATTATATTTGTGACATGTTATGTGTCTTTATGACACATTTATCTATACCTTTGTTGCATGTTTTTCTCCGCCTTTTTGGTAGTTTACGATTTTTTTCGTAGTTTATGTTTTTTTAGTTATTTTTGTTTATCTTTTTTCTCAGGGTTAGATTTGACATCGTCATGACTGATCAATATGTCTCTTATTTGTTATCATGATAATCTTCTACTTTGTACCCTCGGATTGATTTGGATACGCATTTTGAGTTCGTTGATAGTTTTATCACGTCGCTTGATTCTTATTTGCAATTTGTCGTGGCCTTTCAGTAGTTTCATCCTTTTTGTGATTCATTTACCAATGCAATTAGATTTGTTCGTATTTTTTTATTCGAGTTTTTTTGTTAGGTTTTTTAACATTTTCCTTTTTGGTCCTTATGTGATATATGTGGCTATTTTTTTTGTCTCAATGGTAATTGAAAAATCATAATTATATTTTAGGTTTACGGTTATGCTTGTAAATTTATTGTAATTTTGAATATTTTTATTTTTAATAAAATATAGACTTTCTATAAAAAAATAATAATTTAGAAACCACTTAAATATATTTATTAGATTACGTTAACATTCACTTTCTGTATTAATTTTTCAAAATAAATGAAAATTTATTTTACTTTATTATTTCTAATTTTATGATACAAAAAATTTATATGTTTTTAGTATTTTGTTCATCTTCTTAACATATTCATCTCAATCAAGTTATCAAGCATTTAACTTTTAATTTCATTTCAGTTAAAGGTAATTTATTTAAAAAATATTTTTCAATTCACTTTATATTTATAGTTTTATTAGAAATCTATATTTATTATGTGGATTCATAAATTTTCATCTTTATAAATAAATGTGATGCTTGTTAGAAAACATAATTGTATGAGCACAAAATAGATATTAGATCAATACTTTTTTTAAATAAAAGCAAAAATTTTATTAATAAATATGAAATATCCAAAATTATAATAAAATTTGTGACGAAAATCGTAAATTAGATACATAATTGGGATACTCCTAAAATCATTAAAAACTAACCACTCCAGATCGTATCAGGGCCATATAAGGAAAAGATGAAAATTTCATACAGAAAAACTCAAAACGGGTAGATACGAACAAATCTAACTGTTACGTCAAACAAACCATAACTAGGGATTTAAACTACTGAAAGACTACTGATAAAACACAAATAAGCCAAATATTAGAAGATAATTTTTTACGATAACAAGTTACGTTATCCAAATCCAATTCGAGAATCTAAAGAATGAGAAATCAACGAGATAACAAACGAGTGCAATTTTAATCAGTCTTGATAATATCAAATCTAATCTCGATAGAAAATAAACAATAAACGATAAAAAAAATAAAAAGGTACAAAAAAAAAAGAGAGGATACGTGCTATGAAATTAGAGAAATTTGTTCCATAAAAATAAAGATATAAGACAAAAGATATCTAGACGGTATCAATACTAAAATTGATGCCGTCGACAGCTAATGAAAGAAAAAAAATAAAGACATAAGAAAAAAATAAGAAGAAAAAAAAGGGAAGGCTCTAGATTAGATCAATAATTGATGATGAATAAGTATTATTTTGATAATATGAGTAAAATTACCTAATGTGCCATGCTCACTTGACAGTTTCAGTTTCATGAATTTACTACACAACACAAAGTAGATTGAAGGATTGGTGCTTCCCAGCTGGACCTGCCCACTTGCATTCACTTCTTTCTTTATCTTGCACACACGTCCAATCAACTTTTCATAAAACTTTTAGTAATTTTCACCCCTCTCGGAGCAGATTCCCAAAACCCTTTTTTCATTTACTTCTTCTTCTCAATCTAATTTTTCTATTTTTTTAAAATCAAATTTCCATCAACTTGCAGGTCCTTTTGCCTTCTATAAATCAACCCTCGATCCTCTTCTTTCCCTTCCCCTCCTCTTCAGTCTTTTTCTTTAGATTCCTCTCGTTCAGTCTCTTTTGATCCAAAACCGGGGTCTGGGTTTCTCATTTTTCAACCCCGAAACCTGAAATCTTTTCGGTGTTCAAAGCTTTCCTTTTTGTTTAAAACAAGAAAATCTTGATGCCCAATCTTTTGTTCTTGATGTTTGAGATTCATGTCTCCAATTCTCAGTGAAATCTTCCTTTCTGGGTTGATGATCAATTCCACATCCATCCGCAGGACCCAACTCGTTCAATCTTTCTCAGTTGTTTTCCTCTACTGGTTGTACTACGTTTCGTGATTCTTCTTCTTCCCCCTCAAAATATATAATAAATAAATAAAGTTACTACTAGTCTACTGCCATTAATCTATCTTTTTTTTAGGTATTTATTGTTATTATTAGAATAAATTTGTATTTTCTCTTGATAAAATTCCATGGCTTCCTCGAGCGGAACATCATCCGGTTCACTCACCACGAACTCGGGGTCGGAGGGCGATTTACAGGCATTAATGAACGAAAGAAAAAGAAAGAGAATGATATCGAACAGGGAATCGGCACGGCGGTCGAGGATGAGGAAAAAGAAGCATCTCGACGATCTTCAAGCTCAAGTGACTCAGCTCCGAAACGACAACCAGCAGATCCTGACTCAGTTGGACATCACCACACAGCGTTACTTGAACGTCGAGACCCAGAACTCGGTGCTCCGAGCTCAGGCCAACGAGCTGGGCCACCGGTTACAGTCCCTGAACGAGATCATCGGATTCATCAACGGCGGCGGTACTAACTCCGATGCCGATGGGTTTGGTTTCACTGAGTCGGCTGACAGCTTCTTCAACCCATTGAATCACTTGAATCAGCCGATCATGGCATCGGCGGATAATGTGTTTGAGTATTGAAAATCTGCACGAGAGGGCCAATTTGAAAGAGAGGATGGATTATTATTATCAGTAGGAGTAGTTAGAAATAAGGTTATGTGTCGGCACAAAGAGCAGTTGTTGTCGTGCTTAGTGTTGGGTCTTTTTAGTTTGTAAAATGGGGTTTAATGGTTTCAACTTATGCAATGCCACAGCAAAATCCCTTATTTAATGTACTTGGGGTGTTTTCTTTATAAATATTTTATTATGATCTTAAAAATTATTTGACTTTAATTTATTTTAATGATTAAATAAATCGTATTAATTTTAAATTTAGAATTTATTCATATATTGAATTTTATCATTTATGATATTTAAAAAATAAAATTAAATGCGAGAATTATTTTTGTAGCCCGTCTTCAAATAGAATACATGATCATTTTTATCTCATTTACGACGTCAAAAAGATTTAATCGTTCATACATCAGACAATAATTAATATATATATTATTTTATAAATACAATTATAATCGGCGTAATTAAAAAGTTTTATTAACCATATAATTAAAAATTAATTTTTTATTAACCATATATATATATATATATATATTAAGCCAAAATAATTGCAGTAGCAACCTTGTTTGTGTTTACTTAAGTGACTTTGACAAATTTGTAGAAAGGAAGTGTGTGGTTTTGTTCATGGCGTCTCCTTCGTTTTTTTCCATATTAATTCAACAGTTCATGAACCTGTGATTGTCAGCTGATAGGTACAAAGATGCCATTTTTAATTATAATAATGGTTTACTCCGTGCATCACAAGGATTATATTAAAAGAATAAGTAATAACTCTTTTAAATGATTCACTCGTCTAAGTCTTGAAAAAGAAAATCAGAACAACAACATACTTGCGACGACTTTTTGAATTATATTTTGATTTTTTTGTTAACATATATTATGGAGATACGACCATATGTCTCTTAGCTTTCCATCAGATCTTGAATTGCATCGATTTAATATCGGACACTCAAGATATGATCATTTTAGTGAAGATAGTGCATGCAGAAAATCCTATACGGGATTAATATGTGATTTAGTAAATATTACGAATTTTTAATATTTTTATTGATTATTTGTAATATAATTTAACATAGAATTATGCATTATCTTTTAGTATTAGATTTATTATTTTATTAGGAATTAAGTTAAGTTAAAACATTATTTTTAGTTATTAATATTTTATTAGGAATTAGAGTTAAAATGTTTTAGTTTGTTATTATTTTATTAATTAGTTATTTAGGACCTTTATAATTCATCCTCTATATAAATGAGACTTCATTCAATTTTGTAAAAACAAATTTCTTTGATTAATAATACAACGAGAGTTCGTTTTTACAAGTGTTGATTGACTTGTGCCTTCAAAGCTTCTTCTCCTGGAGTTCTTTCAAGTTATTGTGAGGGAGATTAATCTTCACACTCCAATTTACCTTTTCATCATGACTAAGAGGGTTTATTAGAGTTATATTATCGAATTTGTCTTTTCATTACGACTAGGAGGGTTTGATAGGACACTTAGAGCCATATTATCGAGTTTGCATTTTCATTGTGACTAGGAAGGTTCGATAGGACACTTATCCATCTATTTTTCCATAAATTCATCCTCCACATCATTATCTTTACTGTTCACCTTCATAAGGGAGTCACTTTCTACTATTCATCTTCTTTGTTATTCATCGAGTCTAGAGCTTTCTAGGTTTTATTTTTCAACAAGAACAACGTTCATTAGACCGTCACTGCTTCCCTATCACTCCGTGAAAATTCAAAAATTATTTTGAATATGAATATATATATATATATATTTATATATTAATTACATAATTTTTTTTATAAAAGAATACGATCACTTAAATAAATCTTAGTAATAAATCCTAGCCTTTCTTTCTTTCCCCTTCCTTTTTTTCGTTTTGTTTTGAGTTTATGTTGTTTTTTATATATATCATATCAATTTTTTTTATTTTGTTTCATCGGCAGTGATACCAGGTTTGATGTTGGTTGTCGACCGTTGATTCTCTTTTATCTTTTTTTATTTTAATAAGAATAATTATGTCGTTATAACACATTTATCTATGTCTTTGTGGCAGATTTTTTAATTTTTATTTGGTCTTTTGGTTGTTCTTTTATTTATGTTTTATCAAGGTAGAATTTGACGACGTCACAACTGATCAAAATGACACTTATTTGAAATCTTGTTGATCTTCCCTGCTATGGACCTTTGGATTGAATTTGGATGTGCTATTTTACATTCGTAGATAGTTTCTCACGATGTTCGGTTCTTATTTGTGGTTCTCGATGATCTTCTAATAGATTAATTCCATATCTGATCATTATATGATCTAAAATGATTAGTTTCAATGTTATAGGAAAAGTTCAAATTATTTATTTAGTTTACGATGATAGTTATAAACTTTTATTGTAATTTCGAATATTTTTACTTTTGATAATACCATCAACTTCTATTCTTTTTTTTCCTTGAACAATGGCAACTGAATTTCATTAATAAAAAATGAGGAATCAAATTTACAACGCATCTAAAGAGAAAATTGGAGACAATTGTCACCAAAAGCTCATACGTAAAATAAAAATATTAAACTCAAAGATACGAAGAGAATGACACCTTCCAAACATCAAAACAATCAAGTAACCTTCATAAAAACTCATTATCTATGTCAAACGAGACACTTTACGATGTGATAAAGAAGTGGTGGGCAAATCAAACAATCTGGCATTGCTTCGCTACACAATTCTTATTATATCGACAAACGACCATTTATAAAAGAGGAGATTTGACAATACGTGCCCATCAACAAGCCAATCAAAAAATAAATGTCTTAAGGATATTTGTCGAATCACCAACACGACCGCAGAAGTATGCAAAAAACTTACCAAAAACCACAAGGGCATAGATTCTTATTTAAAAGTGGAAAAAATCAAGAAAAAAAAATAAAGACATAATATAAAAAAAGAAAAATAATAATCATCGGCAGTCGACAATCAATATTAATATTAATGTTGTTGTCGGCTAAACAAAAAATAAAAGTTTTTATTGAATAAAAATAATATTTTTATTATTATTTTGAGTCGAGTCGAATTCTGATTTTATCTCAAAAAGTCGGGTCGGTGAAGGGTGTATATTATTCGGGACGGGTCGGTTGAGGGTGTAAAATTTTCGGTCTGATCGGATTGGCCGAAACCCGACCCATGTCCATCTCTAACAACTGATTCTCGAACCTATAACTTCTAGAAACAACTTTGATTTTTTTAACTATTTACTTTAGTTGGTTCGTGCGACTTCAAAGTCAAAAGGGGTAAAGTTAAACATGTACATTTGGTCCATAATTACCCTTAGTCCATGATTTTTGACCACATAATATATTGCTCACAATCATGGTTCCGTAAGCACTCGTGAAACTAATAAATTTATTCTCAGGCAAATGTCGAAGCTTGTAAGGCAGTCAATAATTAAAATGAAAAACATGAAAATAAATTATTTCATTACCATTTTATTGAAAAAAACAGTCCTTTGAAAATGACATTATCACGCCTGTGTCGGGTTGTTTCATAAAATAGGAGTGGGTGACATAGGGATAATCAGGAGTTAAATTTTGGAGGTCACAATTCAAACCATGACACCAACTTTAACATTAAAAAATAAATTATGATTGTTATTATTTGATGATTATGTTAATTAAAATTATATCATAATTACTTCAATTAAAAATACAACTAATAATATACATTTAAAGATGATTATAGGTTGAGTAAAATAAAAGTATTAATAATCATTTCTTATTATATATTAACAATAATTTGAGGGAACCTAAATATTATTATGTATATTGAAGTAAAGAGGGGAAATTCCAATCGGATTATTGGTTTGGTTTCAATGACAAACAAAACCTGACATATTTAGGGTTGAGCGTTTGATCGAGTCGAGTTAAAAAATTTCAAGTTATTCGAGTTGAGAAATCCTATTTTACAACTCGAAATTGACTTTAAATTTTTCAAGTTGAGTTAAGTTTAAAAATTTTGAGTCAAGTCGAGTTAAATTTTCGAGTTTATGTTTAAATTTAATTATAAATATTTATAATATTACCATATTATTTGATTAAAATTTAAATAGTTTTTTTATAATCACATACAATACAAATATATTTTCTCATATGTGATATACATATATCATACAGAATTGAGACGAGTTTTATTTATACAGAATTGAGAGACTCGACTTAAACTTGAAAATTAATCCAATAATTACTAAAATTTTTGGTTATTCGAGTTATTCAAGTTGTATTTTACAACTCGATTTGAACTTATTTTTTTCGAATTGAGACGAGTTTATGAAATTATAACTCGAAGTCAATTCGAGTCGAGTCTTCTCTAGTCGAGTTGAGTCGAAAAAATTGATTTTTCATGTCGGGTCGAGCTTTGCTCACCCCTACACATATCCTAATTATACTATATATATATTACTCTTTCTTTATAAAAATACCCAACAATATATAACTTTTTGGAAAAAGACTTCTTTTAAAAAAAATTCACAAAACAAAAAATACCCATTCTTTTATGTTTACCTTTTTCACAATTACTTTCTTTCTATCATTATTTGAATCAAACATATAAAAAAAACCGTTTTCTCCATTATTTTATTTCATTAAAAATGTTGATATATTAATGAGTGATTAGTCTAGATTGTAAGATAGTATTTGTTTCAAATATTTTTATTATTTTATAATAAACGCTCAAACATTCATGCAATCATCATATTAGAATATGGAATCTTTTGAGATAATAATCATTTCTTTAACCCTAAAAACATTTGCTTCGTCTTGGTTAATAAAAATTCAAAATGAATTTCATTGGCATGTATGGATATGAGTAACTACAATCACAATTATAAGTAATTATAACCAATATGAGTAACTCAATTTTTAATTAAACCAATTAATTTATTAATTGGATCAATTAAGTCAAAAATCAACTTCGATCTTATGTTTAAACATGTTATATATATTTCGTTTTAAGATTTTACACGAACCAAACGATTTTAGTGGTAAGAGAATTATATTTATTCATTGAGGCATCGGGTTCGAGCACCAAAAATACCAGAGTGTGACTGTTTGATATAAAATGATTAAAAATTATCTTTAAACAACTATTGTATTGTATTTACCCTATTTAATAAAAAGAAACTGAATGCA